GTAAGGAGACTTGCCATTATATTTCTCAGTGTATCTCTTTACCGTTTCAGGTTATAAGAGACTAGAGAAGTTGAGGACTCTCGATTTGTCTAACAATGATTTCAACAACAGTGTTCTCCCTTTCCTAAGGGCAACAAAGTCGCTCAGGATTCTAAATCTTGGTACCAATAGACTGGAAGGTGTCTTTCCTCCGATTGGTAATGAAAGATCTCTTTGATTCACGATCTGATTTCCTTTATTCTCACGGTAACTTAGATGCACAGAGGAATTATCTAGAACCTCACAAACCAACCAAAATACTTGAGTCCCCATATGTTATGTGTGTCGATTTATATCGTATATATACTCTACAGAAATAATGGACATGTGTGGCCATTGGTCAAATGTTTGTATACTTGATAAAAACTTATTGGTTTTGGTGTGGCAGAACTTGCAGACATGACAGAGTTAAGAGTGCTCAATTTGGCAAGCAATATAGTCGGCTCCTTTTCCGTTCAAGGTATAGTGTTAAGAAGCCTAGTACAGTTTTGTTCTCCAAAAAAGAAAAAATAAAGACAACAAACAAGAAGATAACTTGTTAGTCAGAAAATCTTGTAAGAGTTAGAAATCTTTAAGGTAGGACATTGAATATTTTTTTATTTTGACTTTTCTTCGTAGTAACAGTGATACTTTTGTTGGTGCAGTACTAGAAGATGCGTTACATTCACAAGAAATGGATCATTTATCTGGCTATGAATTCGCCGACTTAGATAGCCTAGGTAAGATGGTGATCGAGAGAAAAACTCGCTTGTTCTAAGCATAATTGTCATATATATATATTTCTAACTTTCTAGTTGAATCTATAAATAGATGTCAAAAAAATCTAATTAGAATAAGATTGAAGGAGAAGTTTATCAGGAAGTCCAACTATCTTTTATTACTATTGTAGATCTCTGCATACGATTTCCAGATGAATAACTCACCCATATGGGTCAGTCTTAAAACATAATAAAAGCAAATTGTGATCATGATTCTGAATATTGTTTGTTTTGCTGAATATTATATGATTTCTAAATGCCTAATGGAGTATGCAAGAGTGTGTTTTATTTATTCATCTTTCCTTCAATTGCAGATTTAGTGTTTCCTTCATCTTTACAAGTGTTGAATCTTGAAGGAAATCAATTGTCTTTGACCTCCGAAGGTGAAATATTAAAAATAATCATGCATTCATTATCTTCCTCATTGTGTGCTTTACACATAAATATACACAGTGTGGTTAACCTCCCAGCTGAATTTCTCCATGGATATGTTGTGAGAACAATTCTTGTTTTGAATAATTTCAGGCTACTCAAAGATTTGTGGACTAACGAATCTCCGGGAGTTGTATTTAACCAAAAATGATTTGACAAGTCTGCCTTATTGTCTAGGTAACTTGACCCGTCTTCGAACTCTTGATCTATCAGACAACCAGTTGAATGAAAACTTGTCTTCCTTTGTGTCTGGTCTACCATCGGCACTTGAGTATTTGTCACTTGTTGACAATAACTTCAACGGTTCATTCTTGTTCAACTCACTGGTCAATCAAACAAGGCTCACAGAATTCATATTATCATCAAAAGTTGGTATGATCCAAGCTCATGCTGAGAGCTCATGGGTTTCTCTTTTTCAGTTGAAGATGCTCACGTTACAGAATTTCATTCTTGGCGCCACAATTCCTGGCTTTCTTGTTCATCAAAATAACTTGCCCAAAGTTGATATTTGTTGATGGTAGAACCTGCACAGTTCGATTTGTCAAAGATTTCAAGAGGATTGAGTTTTCCAAGTACGAAATCACAAACACAAAAGGGTTGAAGATGGCTCTTATTGCTGTTTCCGTTAAACCTTAAGAATATAAGAGTTTCTGTAGAGTCAAGTTGCGGATCCCCTCCTCAAGGAAGATACATTCACATATATATTAAACTAGGTCGGCTAGGTTAACCTCCTAGAAAACAGGGAGTTTTCCTGATCCTCTTGGAATTTCCTTTCCTTGAGGTCGGCTACGTCTAGTGGACTGCACCGCCCGCTCGGCCCATCTTGCCATGTCTTGGACTCAGCCCGCCTTGTCACGTTCAGGGTTTTACTTTGTCGCGGGCTTGCCTTACGGGCTTCTTGGTTATGTCGGCCCACTTCTCCAATGTAGATGTATCCTTCCTGCCAGGTAGTATCGTTAGTCTCGCCAGCCTTGTCTTTCGAGCATGGTCGTGCAACCCGCCTCGTAGGATATGTAACCTCGTCGGACACCGGATAGCTGGGTTCGTACAGTTATTTCTGACTCAGCCTCCATACTTAGTCATTTTCAGCTTTGATCTTACCGGGGTGGAATCCAACCCCCTATAAGCAGCTGACATGAGCATTTCCACCTTGGTTTGTGCAGAATAACACAAGATTGCAGACTATTTTGCTGAAAAGAAAGTCCTTGACAAAGTTTCAGCTACCTATGCTTGTTCATGGTTTGAAAGTTCTCGTCGAGTAATAGAATATCTGATATTCAAGAAGACATAGGAATTGTCTTTCCAGAGCTGAGTTTTATGAACCTCTTTTCTTGAAATCATTTTAATGGAACCATCCCATGTTCTATGGGCGAGATGAAAAGTCTAGAAACATTAGATGTGTCTTCTAATGGTTTATGTGGGAAGCTACCTAAAACATTTTTAAGTAGTTACTACTCATTGACATTTTTAAAGCTCTCCAACAACCAATTCCAGGAGAAAATATTTCCAGAGCATGCAAATTTTACTGGTCTAGTTATGCTACTTGTTGATGGAAACAATTTTAATGGTCGTATTGGAAAGGGTTTGTCGAAGTCGAAGAATCTAAAGCTTTTAGGCATGTCAGATAACTGCTTTTCGAGAAAGCTTCCACTTTGGATTGGTAGAATGTCAAGCCTTTCATACCTATACATGAGGGGGAATCAGCTTAAAGGTCCTTTCCCTCGCCAACTTAAGGTTATAGACATCTCACATAATATCTTCTCTGGTTCCATACCAAACAAAGTTGATTTTCCTTCTCTCACAAAATTAAGACTACAAAGCAACGGTTGAGAAACTAGAGGTGCTTGATTTGGGAAACAATAATTTTCTAGAAGATTTTAATAATACTATTGGCAAGAGTTCTAGTTTATGGGTTCTTCTTCTACGGAATAACAGCTTACGAAGTGGCATCCCTGAGAAAATTTGTCAGATGAGTCGAGTTTAGCCTCTTAGACTTATCTCACAATAAATTCAAAGGTGGTGATATGCCATCATGTTTGGGTAACATGTCTTTTCGTGCAGAAAGATACAAGTTCTTCAATACAACTCTTTTCTCAGTTTCTACGCCATATGGTCATCAACCGTCAACCATAGTGGAATTTTTGACGAAAAACAGATATGAAGCATACCAAGGTGATATATGTGTGGGTTGGTTGGTTTGTCAAGCAACCAATTATCATGTGAGATTCCAGTTGAGATTGGAGATCTTGAAAACAGTGTCCCTCAACTTCTCAAGCAACCACCTCACATGCTCCATACCATATAGCATTTCAAAGCTCAAGGACTTGGAGAGTCTTGATCTGTCCAACAATAAGCTAGATGGAAACATCCCTCCTCAGCTAGCTGACCTCAACAATTTAGGGTACTTCAATGTCTCATGCAACAATTTATCAGGTGAAATCCCTTTCAAAAGCCATCTTGTAACCTTTGAGGAAAAGAGTTACATAGTCAATGCTCATCTTTGTGGACTTCCTACCAATAGAAGTTGCATCCCCACGAAAGTCGTAGAGCCAAGTCCATCAAAGCGGGCCAAGAGGAAAGAAGAGGGTGATGATGTGATAGACATGGATGGTTTTATTGGACATGTGGTGCAGTCAGACATGAACAGTTTCACAAATTTCTACTCTACAGAGATGTAAAGACATTACATATGAAGAATCATATTGAAATCTATTTTGGGTCTCGTACTTGGCTTTCAAAATTTCGTTCTGAGCAAATGGAACATTGTTCGTCTGATTTGCTATTTTTGTTGTTCTTCTTCCTCTCCTTCTCCGATCTGTGGGAGCAAACTGCTGCTTCACTAGACATTGATGTCTTTATGCTGCCATTAGTAAACAATGATGCAGTAATTTTTTAAAATTTAAAAGAATAATAAATGTTTATTTAATACTCGACGTTCATCATTGGACACTAGCAAAACGATCCAAGCCCATCATCATCACTTATTATCATTACTACACGCGGACTTTTTTAAAATCATGATAAAACCATAATGTAACATAAATTTTGAAATTATACAATCGCAAATCACTTCCTATTAATATTAGAGATATCGTTCATCATAAACATATTTTGTTTCTACGTGTATTCAAATTCATAGTATATAATTTTTTTTTTTTGGTCACGATTC